AAGATGGTGAAGCCATATGAATTTTTTTTGTGTATTCTTGTTGTATCGTTATTAGTTAGAAAACAAATATAAAGAACAAAAAAAACTTCTAAGTTCAAATTCAATACCATTGCATGACATCGTCCTTTACTTTTCCAGTTTTCTTGGAATGTTCAGATTACTTTTCTTTTCTACTTACAATCTTTCAGTGAAAGATCAACACAGTTGTTTCCTATTTACTAAGACACTTCGGGATATTTTATGCATTTATTTCGATTAAATTAATTGAAATAACAATAACTCCCGAAAAATCTTTTTTTCAAGGAACTTTCAAAAAAGAATCAGAGATTTATTAATGAAAATGTAAATGCTACGAATAATTTTTATTTCTTGATCGATATTTAGAAATTCCTTTTGATAAATGTCAGAAGTCAGAATAAAAATAGAATGTCTAAAGTTATTCGTCTTCATTTTCACATTATATGTGACCATCGATGTATGAATATTGAAATATTCGTTTGCTAAATCTCTCTGAAACATATGCTTTATCACTCTTTGGTTATTTTATGTTTTTAGCTATTCGTATGAATCATTAAGTTATAATTTATTAGTAATATTTTTCAAACAAAATCTTTTATTTTTTTTTTGTACTGAATCACATTAGTAATATGATCTTTCTCACATATATTTTAATGAATATTATGTTTGTTTTTTCTCTTTCGTACTTCATGCGCAATATGGCTGTGACAGGGTAATCGTAGTGCAATCTTTCATATGCATGGTAATTAGGTCAATTTCTTTGTTGATATTCGCAAATTAGGCACATAACACAGCATAGAACTAAGAGTAATACTTGAGAAAAGAAACGATATTCTTCAATTCAAAAAACTAATTTCGAATTTGTGCATGCTTCGTTGTTGTCGATCATTTCTAAGAAGATTCATATGTTTGGAACAAAAAACTCACAGTAATTTTATATTTATTCCATTAGAAAACAAAAGTCTATATCATTCGAAAGGACTGTCAGGGTGTGGGTGGATGAGAGATCTATACATACATCTACACCCACACCCTTTAAATCTTTAACTAAATTACAAACAATACCTTGAAATAACTCAAACTACTAATCAGATACGTATTTCAAAGTTATGCTTGAAAATACCCCCCTCCATCGTAATAAAAGACCCCGGGTCTTCTATTATGTTTAAGTGGAAAATTGTTTTTAGGGAGATCTTGTATTACGACTCGTATTTTTGTGAAATTCACGAGTCGGGTGTGGGTGTGAGTGCGGGTGAAGTATGGGTGAGCAGAGGTATGAACTCACACACCCACACCCCAAAATGCAGACTTTTGTATATCAGGTACTTTGGGCTACTTTTGAGCCCACTATAAGTAATTACTTTGTCGTATTTTTTACTTCAAATCTCCTGTTTCCTTCCTGAATACTCTACAACTGTGGATTAGCTGCGGATTGAGGCTAGGTTTTGTTTCATCTAAGAAGACCCTACACTTCTCTTCCATACGTTGACGCACACTGGCAACTTGAAACTGTATACGAAGTTTCGTTTTCTGTTAGGCTACAAAGCTTCAAATCCTTACTCTTTTACCTTTTCTTTTCATCGAAACTTCACCATATCTTTCGTCTCGTTGTTTTTTATTCTTGTTTTTATGGGATTTTTTTACAACCACTTTGATTTTGCCTAAAGCAAGAGAGAAACATGCGACAATTTTGTGGTACGAAGAAGAGAGAAAATAAACAAGTTTACCATTCTTCAGCTTAATCCATTTCAGTTGTCGACTAGCTTCATAACATTGAGTTACAATTGACTAAGCAATCATCAATATGGCATTTTGGACCTACCAATATTATACTTTTGCGCTTATTTTCATTATTATAGCTTTGGGTATCTTATCATTCGTTCTCCTATTTTTTTTGAACGAAGAGCTGATGCCAGCTATTATTTATTTGCCCAAAATGTTTTCGGTATTCGGAGACTAGCAACGAGAACCCGTCGAAGATTGCAACACAAAGAAGATTACAATGAGGCCTCAATAAAACGCAAACTTGCAGTCAAACATATCATAGATTTTCAAGGTCACCTGATAAATTTACAAAAATCGAAACACAGAAAACGACGTATCGTCTTGTTTATATTGCTGGCTTCGTCCATGTGGCTTTTCCTCATTCAAATCTTTGTCTCTGTTGTTCTTCGTTATTAAATAATTTATCCGAATCAACTGTGTCCAAGTTTTACTGCTGCTTGTTTTATCGTTCCTAAAGCAACCTTCGATTATTCGTCAATTGGTGAGTTTTTCTGACAACCACGTCTAACATACGTTTTGACAAGCTCTACTTAGGGCGTACCAAAAGTTCGCGTCCCGCTATTTAAAGGGCCTCGTCGGATGGGGTGAACCGATTCAGAAATAAGAAACAAACATATCATCTTGTAGAGCTTTTCGAGCCGGATAGAATGTTATATAGTAAATCGTGTTTTCATAGAACTTTGAAGAACCTAGAGTCAATTTGCTGATGGATGGCTACACATTCACATCCATCCATATCGGCATCCATACCCGAGGACCATAAGTTAATGATTATTGTGGTTCTTGTTATTAATTGAAAGCATTTGTAAAATATTGTTTCTCGCATGCGACCTTGTAGAGGTTTTGACGGGCTACAACCTCATATACGTACCATCTCTGGTCATCTTGTGAATGTAGACGTGAATGTGGATGGGTGTGAATGTGTAGTCGTCCATCAGTAAATTGTCTCTAGGTCCTTCAAAGTTCTATGAAAACAGAATTTACTATATACCATTCGATGCGGCTCGAAAAGCTCTACAAGATGATATATTTGTTTCTTATTTCTGAATCGGTTCACCCATCCGATGAGGCCCTTTAAATAGCGGGACACGAACTCTTGGTACGCCCTAAGTACAGATAATGCAACAAGTATCTGCTTTGGTTGGGTTATCCAATACCAAGATACAGCTACTATTCTAACAGCGATTGGTAGTGCTTCAGGATTAGTTGCTTTTTCTGCACAGGCATTCAACATCTTATTTCATCTTACATTCGAACATTTACGCGGAGGATTTAGATCATGGATGGGTTGCTCTATTTTTATGGGTACTATCGTATTATGGTCTGGTGTCATTATTAATATGGCCAAAGAGAAAGTAACAACGAATGTGGAAGCTTATTTTGCTATGGTTCATATGGCTCTGATGAAGACGTTAGGAATACTCTGGGGTTTTTCAGCCGATGATGAAGTACTATCAGATGATGGGAAAAGGGCGTTTAGAATGGGTCGGTATGCAATGGAAGACTTAATACCACGTGTAGCGATGCAAAATTTAGAATCATTTGGAATTGATGCTCTTTTTGGTCAAGATAGTCGTCTTCAGAGTCGACAGAGTGACCTGGACGTGGTCAGAACAACAAGCAGATTTTGATTGTTACAGAATACGAGTTGGAACTTGAAAATTGCTAAATTATTTTCAGCATATTTTCTGTATAAGAACTACTCTATTTAATCTCATATTTAATATATAAACCTATAAAATTCCTTTTCTTTTGATCGTGGATTGAGACTGAAAACAATATAGAGATTCTTACTAAAAAAAAGTACTTGTAATTCTGTACATCATAAATCTCGATACTATCAAGAAGACTGTTAAGGAAACATGGATTAAATATTACTCATTTAAATTAATTTTCTTGTCTTTGCAAGAATTGCTATTCCATTCATATCCTTGGACTGATAGAATGAAAAACCATACACACAATCATATAATATACAACTACTGCGACAGCAAAAAGACAGAGAATTCAAAAAACATAAGTCGAATACTAGTGATTCTCTTTCTCCAATATGTAACAGTAAAAGCAATCATGAGTGGGCAATTGGAGTATGGTTCGAGGGAGAAAAAGCAAACTTTAAAGTTCAACATTCGAAGATTGAATGAACGAATGGAAGTCTAAGAAATTACATTTTATCTTTGTGTCACCTAAAATACATAATCCATTAGTTACAGATAAAAGGGAATTTATGTTCATATGGTATGGGTATGAGTGACTGACAAAGACAATAGACGTTCATGCCCATATTTTAAGATTGAATATTGATCATTTGATGATGCAGATGTGAATGTGTGTAACCTACGTGTAAAAAGTCTTGGTATAAATTTGTTCAATACATTTCTAGCGCGGGAGTGTGGTTTCTTCACGTTTTTCTACATCAACTTCTAGATCATTAGCGAAGCTTTAAGATAATATATAATACGTTACATCCTCGTTTTATTTTGTAGATATGACACGTTCAGAGAGAGAACACCTGCAAAAACAGGTTGTACAACACTACATAACTGTAGCAAACAAACAGAAGAAGATTACTGTAAACCATTTTTTACAAGAGAAAATTCCTCGCCAAAATATATACAATATTATCAGGAAGTATGAAGATTGTGGTCATGTTGGAGACAAATCCAGATCTGGTCGTCCAAAGAAGCTGTCAAGTGGACACTTAACACGACTAAAACGCTTAGTGAATCACAAGACTGGCATTTCTTTACGTCGAATAGGGTGTGAGTGTGGGTGTGGGAGTGGGTGTGGGGTGTGGGTGTGGGGTGTGCGTGTGGGTGTGGGTGTGGGTGTGGGTGTGGGTGTGGGTG